ACCTTGTTACTCCAGGACAGATAGTTAGAAGGTTAGAGAGGGTGAAGATCATTTTGAATAAGTTGGAAATTGATCCTGGAATAATATATATATATATTTGAACTTTATTTCAATCCATCATGAGCTACCGATCCTCAGCTATGATTAACTAATGATTAAAATGTCATTTTCGTTTATAATCGATTTCATCACGACTCTTCTTTTAAGATTAAGCAGTAATTAGACATTCTTATTGCTCAAAGTAGAGTCCAATAGTGTTATAAAAACCTCGAAGTATTCCAGTAAGTTATCTTTAATCATTTCTAAGATACAAGGGTTCAGTGCGTAATCTAACAATTGGACAATATTTTCCTGTTACACCATTGGATAGTTTTGCTGTTATACCCGGTATATGCACAATGAGCTGGAAACACTATATTTACATAGGTTTTTATTTAGGGGTGATGTCGGTAGCCTGGCATTTCTGTGGTCCGGTGGCGGCCAGGCCGCAAGAGTACCGGATTAATGAGGGTGCAATGTATCACAAACGCGATCAAGGAATACGATACTTATGTTCAGATTGTTATCAGAAAGAGCAATACAAATGCAGAAGGACGTGTACCTATGTTTTTATAGACTACGCAAAAGCGTTCGACAAAATCTGTTGTAGCTTTTCAGCAACTTTTGCATATTCAGGAATGACATTCGAATAACCAAGAATTATTATAATTTATATTGTTAATGCTGGATTGAATTATTAAAGTTTGACAAAAGACGAATATATTTTAAGAAAACTTAAAATGAAAAATTAAATGTGTGTAATACAGCCTGCTTTCAACTTATCTATTTCCGACTGGTGCTAATGATGTAAACTTTTCAGATGTAAAGTGATGGGACCTTGCCGCCAATCAAATACTGCGCTTAAATTATAAAGTCTAGGTACCGTAGCGGAAAGTGATATTTATTTGCATGATTATACAAAATGTGGCACAAGGCCAAAAGGGGGAATGGGGAAAAAGGACGGTCTTGTTCTGTCTTAACTTTAAACTTAGCTAGCCACAAATTCTGACCCAAACATACGACAATATTCCTAACACTAAAACAACACATTCTTACTTAACTTTTTTTACTACATTCACCATAATACCTCATTGTCTCTATGAAAGTCCTAACTAGTCCCCATACGTACAATTCATTGTCTGTTGGGGGGAGAGGAATAAAATAACAATTAAAAAATTTAAACTGCAATGGATATTTATAAAATCGAACAAAACCCTATATACAAGAAACTAAAAATATAGCGGAAAATTCATCAGAAAAATTTACCATGAACGTATTTATAGAAAAGGCAGAGTGAAGCTATGTTATGACGCTGTGAAGGGGACTGAAACTTAGATGCCAGGTCATGACCAAGAACGTTGCTGATTCTTCTTTGAATTTTATGAAGAACTCTATTTTTTTTTAGCCGAATCAGCAAATCAGGTGTGGCAGTAATATTCAAAGCAAAGTTGAATACGGGACACCATTTTTAAAAAAAATAATAATGGAATTATTTATAATTAGATATATTTAATTCTGGGATCATTAAGGGAATAGTGTGACATACGGGACAATTTAGATATTTGTCGAGAACTGATAACACAACTATTCAGCAATAAGTGGTAAGGTGATTTCATCTGGATATTTCAACTGTAAAATGATATCAGTCTAATACCTTCCCGCCAATCTAGGACTGTTATAATAATATCTGCAGTATTTTTTATCATTATTACTTGTATTATGTTAATGTGAAAATGGATCGATAAAGTTTGACAAAAGGCGGATATATTTTAAGAAAACAGAAAACATTAAAAGTGTAATAAAGGCTGCACTTTGACTGAAATAGCTACCAATTTCTGAATGGTGCTAATGTTCTGTTTTTGAATCCAAGTTAAAAAGAGAAAGTTAAATATCTATTCTCGAGGCAAAACTGCTATTTAGAAAAAAATATCGCAGTGCCTTCTACCTACTCTTCATTTAATCTTATGTCGTACAAAGTCAGTTTGAATAAATATGAATATATTTTATATTTAAAATATTTCTTCTACACTGTTTTATTCGAATAGGAATTGCGTCTTAATCGTTACGGAAGAAGAAAGCAGATACATTATGACTATAACAACAAAGATGAGGATAACAGATTGAATAAATCAGTGTATAATAATGATAATTCCTCATCTCAGAAATAGAGGAAACGTTGTGACTATAACAATCAAGATGAGGATAACAGATTGAATAAATCAGTGTATAATAATGATAATTCCTCATCTCAGAAATAGAGGAAACTTTGTGACTATAACAATCAAGATGAGGATAACAGATTGAATAAATCAGTGTATAACAATGATAATTCCTCATCTCAGAAATAGAGGAAACGTTGTGACTATAACAATCAAGATGAGGATAACAGATTGAATAAATCAGTGTATAACAATGATAATTCCTCATCTCAGAAATAGAGGAAACTTTGTGACTATAACAACCAAGATGAGGATAACAGATTGAATAAATCAGTGTATAATAATGATAATTCCTCATCTCAGAAATAGAGGAAACTTTGTGACTATAACAACCAAGATGAGGATAACAGATTGAATAAATCCGTATATAACAATGATAATTCCTCATCTCAGAAATAGCCGAAACGTTGTGACTATAACAATCAAGATGAGGATAACAGATTGAATAAATCAGTGTATAATAATGATAATTCCTCATCTCAGAAATAGCCGAAACGTTGTGACTATAACAACCAAGATGAGGATAACAGATTGAATAAATCCTTGTATAATAATGATAATTCCTCATCTCAGAAATAGCCGAAACGTTGTGACTATAACAACCAAGATGAGGATAACAGATTGAATAAATCCTTGTATAATAATGATAATTCCTCATCTCAGAAATAGCCGAAACATTGGGACTATAACAAGCAAGATGAGGATAACAGATTGAATAAATTCTTGTATAATATTTATAATTCCTCATCTTGGAAATAGCTGAGACTTTTTGATTATAACAACCAAAATGAAGAAATCTATTCGAATAGATTAAATTATTGTGATGATAATTCCTTATCTTAGAAATTCAGATATAAAATATTTCATCTCATATCAAAAGAATACTCCTCTTCCTATTACTTGGTAGTCAACAAGTAATCTTAGAATACAGACAGAAATTAAAGATGTCTGCTGGGAACTCTAGATGAGAGACGCGGTTAGTGATGATGACTTTGAAGGCCCTACTGGTGAAAATATTTTCAATGCTAGGATTAATAATATATGATAGTCAACAATACAGCATGGAATAAAACCAAGAAATAAAGAACATATAGTTCGGAAATTCTAAGAAAATTGGGAACCCTATCGGTATTTAGCAATGGCGGCCCCAATTTTAAAACATAAGCTACGCAGATGACACAATACTGATAGCAGTCACGGAAAAGAAATTAAAAAAATCTCCTATAGAAGGTAGCGACAGAGAGTGTGAAGAAGGGACTAAGCATAAACTACAAGAAGATAGAATACATGGTTATCAGTAAAAGAATGAGCCCGAAATACGATTTACAGGTTGGGAACAAAGGAATCAAGCAGACACGGAAGTTTAAATATCTGGGAGGCGTCTTGACAGAGGACGGTAAGTGCGACACTGAGATCCGTAGACGAATTGGAATGGCCAAAGATGAATTCCAAAAGTTGGGCAGAGTATTGCGAGACAGGAGGATCTCTTTGGTAACAAACAAAATAATACTGAGCTGTTACGTGACATCTGTTTTTCTTTACGGCAGCGAAGGTTGGTTTATTTCCTCAAAGATGAAGAAGAGACTCAAGGCGACGGAGATATAATTCTACAGAAGGATGCTAAGGATATCATGGGCCGAGCGCGTGTGCAACGATGAGGTCTTAGGTTGTAAACAAGGAGGAGGCAGCTGAAGTTCCTGGGACACATAATGAGGAAGGAAGGTCTGCAGAATCTGATACACACGGGTCGAATAGAGGAAAAGAGAGACAAGCAGCACGTAACATTCCTGGCGGGCTTGAGCAAGTGGATGACAGAATATGGTCTGGGGGTAGGTAGCAGAGGGAAGGAACTTGTTGAGAGAGAGCTGCAAGGGATAGAGGGAGGTGGAGAGCCATGATCGCCTACGTCCTGAAAGGACATGGTGCGTAAAAAGAAAGACGTTTAGACAAATCTTTTGTTGGCCTAACAGATTGTAGGATCGTCACTTGAAATAATTCGGCTATTTTCTTTTTGTTTATTTTATTTAGTTGTTTATCAGAGAAAAAATTCTGTTTCGATTTTATATTTTTGTTATGGTTAATGAAGAAACAATGCTTCTTATTTTTTGTTTTGTTTTTGTTTTTTATCTACAGTTTCTGAGTTTTGAATTCAATTATCGCCTCATTGTGGGCAATTGTCTGAGAATATCTGTCAAAACTATGACATCTTCCGAGTCTAATTCGCGTCATTGATTATCAAACTATCAATCAATGAAAAGGTTGGAACAAGTAGCCATAAAGAAGAAACTCAAAACTAATAAACAATTCTCACGTGTCTGAAAAATTCCAGGTTTTTTTTTTCATTTTGGAAAGAGTTTTTGTTGTTTCTAAAAGAAATTCTATCGTGCTTTGCATTCGGTAACTGTTGGATTTAACAATTAGACTTTAGTTTTGGTTTTCTTCTCTTTTCACATCCACGCCTTGTCAGCTTTTTAAAACAAAAACAAAAACACTAATTTACGAGTTATTTTACAAGGATTCGAGCTGTATCTGTTGCCAGAGACGTAGTAGTTTTAAAATATGTTTGCAATTTATTTTTGAAAGATGAACTGAGAATTGACCCTATTTAAAAGCCGTCATAAGTGGTTAGGAAGATCGAAGTCGTAGACCAGTCCGCTAGATTTATTTTCTCTGAATGCTCAATTATAATGTCCATGTGCTACACTTAAAAAAAGCAAATGAGCCAGATTAGACCATAGATATTCAGAATAATAAGATAAGACTAAAGAAAAAAGAGAAAGGCTTACAACTGGAAGAAAAGAAGCGAAAGAGAAAGGGATGAAGAGAGAGAGAGAGAGAGAGAGAGAGAGAGAGAAGGGAGGGAGTGATAGAGAAAGAAAAGTAAGGAGAGAAGATAGAAATGAGACAGGGTAAGAGAGGGGGATAGAAAGAAAGGGAGAGGGGGACGAAAGGAGACAGGGGAAGGAAGAGAGTCAGAGATAGAGGATGGGAAAGAAAGAGGAAAGAAGAGAGAGAGAGGGAGATAGAGAGAGAGAGGGAGAGAAAGAAATTATGGGAAAGCGGAAGGAAGAGAGGATGGGAGAAAGAGAGAAAAGAAGGGAGCGAGAGAGAGAGAGGGGGGAAGGAAGGGAAAAGAGGCAAGTTAAAATTAAAGCAGGATAGAAAGCTATAAGAGAGGCTTGGAAAGAAGGGAGGAAAGATGTTGGATGTTATAGAAAAAATGAGAAATGACGACAGGAAGAAAGGAATATGGAAAAAAAAAGTGAAGAAGGAAGGAAGGAAGGAAGGAAGGAAGGAAGGAAGGAAGGAAGGAAGGAAGTGAACAAAAATGGAAGGAAAGAAAGTATGCAGAAAGGAATACAGAGAATGAAGAAAGGTAAAAGAAAGAAAGAAAGAAAGAAAGAAAGAAAGAACGAAAGAAGAAATGAAGAAAGAGAAGGACGGAACGGAAGGGAATGAAAGGAAGGAAGGAAGGAAAGAAGGAAGAAAGGCACGAAGGAAGGAAGGGAAGAGAAGGAAAGGAAAGAAGAGAACGAAAGAAGGAAGGAAGAAAGAAACGAAGGAAGTAATGAAGGAAGAGAAGGAAGGAAGAAATGAAGAAAGGAAGGGAAGGAAGGAAAGGGAAGGAAAGAAAAGAAGAAAACGAAGGAAAGAAGGAAGAAAGAAACGAAGGGAGTAATGAAGGAAGAGAAGGAAGGAAGAAAGGGAAGGAAATGAAGGAAGGAAAGAAGAAAGAAAGGAACGAACGAAGGAAGGGAAGGAAGGAAGAGAAAGAAAGAAAAGAAGAAAACGAAGGAAGGAAGAAAGAAACGAAGGGAGTAATGAAGGAAGAGAAGGAAGGAAGAAAGGAACGAAGAAAGGAAGGAAGGGAAAGAAAGAAAAGAAGAGAACGAAGGAAAGAAGGAAGAAGAAACGAAGGGAGTAATGAAGGAAGAGAAGGAAGGAAGAAAGGAAGGAAAGAAGGAAGGAAGGAAGGGAAGTAAATGAAGGGAGTAATGAAGGAAGAAAGGAACGAAGGAAGGAAGGAAGGGAAGGAAGGAAAGGGAAGGAAAGAAAAGAAGAAAACGAGGGAAAGAAGGAAGAAAGAAACGAAGGGAATAATGAAGGGAGGAAGGAAGAAAGGAAGGAAGGAAGAAAGGGAAGGAAATGAAGGAAGGAAAGAAGGAAGAAAGGAACGAAGGAAGGAAGGGAAGGAAGAGAAGGAAAGAAAAGAAGAGAACGAAGGAAGGAAGAAAGAAACGAAGGGAGTAATGAAGGAAGAGAAGGAAGGAAGAAAGGAATATATACACCAGTTCGTGCCTGACAACTTGGGAAAACCATAGAACCTCTGTCTAACCACATTGAGCAATGTTCTTTTTACACCTTATATTAAGTAAATATTTATTCGCTTATCTCTGTATGGAAGCTAACGCACGCATATACTGTTGATAATATCTAATTATTGGTTTATATCCACACTAATATATATATATATATATGTGTGTGTGTGTGTGTGTGTGTGTGTGTGTGTGTGTGTGTGTGTGTGTGTTACATCATAGGCATATAACTCCGTCCACGTTTTTGTTATCATATTGAATCTGGATCCCCACAAAGTAAATGGACCTGACGTTATCCTTGTAAATTCCATCCAGAAATGTACTCTCCCACTGGCCCTAATGTTTATATCTACACTAATATATATATATATATATATATATATATATATATATATATATATATATATATATATATATATAATATTAGTGGTAAATATAGACATATATATGCAAAATATATAAATATATATACATAGGTGCATACACATACATGTATATTTTTGGAATAAAAATTCCAAGAGGATAGAATCCAGGTAGAACTCAATGTCCAGGACAGAGTAAGGATATAATAAAAAGGCTTAAACACTAATATTCCATGGTCATAATTTATTCCATTGGAATCGTAAATACGATCCAATTTATCAGACCTACAAATTCAAAAAGAAAACAGAAAAAACAACTCCGGAAATAAAAACAGAATTTAGAGAGATTGTAAGTATGGGGGTGTGGGGCGATTTTTGAACAATAAAAAAATATTAAAAAATTATGTACATTATGTACGCCTTTATCCACTATGCCATCATGGCACAATGGATAAAGGCGTTAGTTAGATCCAGTGATAGGACCTAAGGAGTGTGAGTTCAATACCCGGTTAAGGCGGTGGAGAACTTGGAGAGGGGAATTAACAGGACATGCATTAGACATGGCAATCTTTTTGAAATTTTTTTCTTAGAAATATTGTAATCCTGTGGGCACGTCATATCAATCCGTTGGCAGGTTCCTTTTTGGAAATCTTTTATACCTATGTTTGATCCAGTTGAATCAATATTCTTGTCTGTGACGATTGGAAAGTTCCACGGTATAGACACACCATCACTATTTGTGACATCATTCAAATGTTGTTTGTATCCGGGGCTTCAGTACCATATTCACTGGCATATCTGTTTGAATTATTATTATTATTATTATTGAGTGATGGCCGAGTGATTTAAACGTCAGTTTTCTGATCATCAAACCCGTGTTCGAATCTCACCATGGTTGATTTGACAGGAAGTAGACGACCTGATGTTATCGGTCTTGGTGGGGGGTGGGGGTGCGATGCCAACATGCGGAATCTTTGGAAATTGCCTGAAAACCATACCCCGGGTTGACATGCCTTGTGAGTGAAATTAGGTAGACGGAACTCCTGGAGGCCGTCGATAGCTGTGTTAACACGAGGTTACAAGTCATCGTGAGTGAGGGTTTGAGTGTACTGACCTTGTTCATATTGTTGATCACGCTAGATAACACGCTCTCTCCCAGAAAATATAGCGAAGGACTGCTCCCCATAGTTTCACTATAAACGACAGGTTGGTTCTGTGGGTGTTGAGCAAACACAAATGTGCTTGAGCAAGAGTCTGCTATAGGGATTGGCTAGTCACCCTAGTAGACAGATATCTTCGAATACGAGTGGCCAGCTATTATTATTATTATTATTATTATTAAGTGAGAGATTATAAATATATGAATCCATATATACAAATCATCAAGAACATGCTGGATAAAATGTAGAAATATATATTCACCAATATATAGAAATACATGTTCCTTAATATGTAAAAATATATGTTCCTTAACATGTTGAAATATATGTTCCCCAATATGTAGAAATATATGTCCCTTAATATGTAGAATTATATATTCCACAATATGTAGAATTGTATATTCCCCAATATATAGAAATATATGTTCCTTAATATGTAAAAATATATATTCCGTAATATGTAGAATGATATATTCCCCAATATGTAGAAATATATGTTCCCCAATATATGGAAATATATGTTCCTTAATATGTAAAAATACATGTTCCTTAATATGTAAAAATATATGTTCCTTAATAAGTAGAATTATATATTTCCCAATATGTAGAAATATATGTTCCCCAATATGTACAAATATATGTTCCCCAATATGTACAAATATATGTTCCTTAATATGTAAAAATATATATCCCTTAATATGTACAATTATATATTCACCATTATGTAGAAAAATATGTTCCCCGATATGTAGAAATATATGTACCCTAATATGTAGAAATGACTAGGACGTTGCTTTCGCAGCCTTATCTGTGTAAATACAACAATCCAAATATTTAGAAATTTTTTTATCAGAAGACGTAATAGTCGACATCGAAATCCGATGGCGTATTGTGGTAGCGAATGTTGTCTTCATAAAGCTAAGTAAAATATTAAAAAAACAATAAAATCTCTTTAAACTGTTATATAATATCAGTCCTCCTATATGGCAGTGAATGCTGGACAATCTCCTCACAGATGAAGAAGAGATTTGAAGCAAGAGAAACAAAGAAAAGATTACTTAAATGTTATGTAACATAAATCATCGAAGGCGTATTGTGATAACGAATGTTGTCTTCCCAAAGCTAAGTAAAACATTATGAAACAGTAAAGAAGCAACAACGAAATGATTATTGGACTGTTAAGTAATATTGGCTCTCTTATACGGGTTTGAATCCTGGACAATCTCATCACAGATGAAGAAGAGACTTGAAACAACAGAAACAAAGAAAAGAGTACTGAACGATTATACAATATCAGTCCCCCTATATGGCAGTGAATGCTGGACAATCTCCTCACAGATGAAGAAGTGACTCCAGGTCACAAAACTGTGGTTCTACAGAAGGATGTTGAGAATATCATGGACGGAAGAGGAAAGAGGGCTTGGAAAATTTAACACTCACATGACATGTTGAAGGCAAGGGAGAGATAGTGGATAACTGCGGATAATCTATCTAGCGAGCTTCAGTAAATGGCTGGCAGAAAAAAAGATTAGGGGAAATAGCAAACATATAAATATTGCTAAGAGCTACAAAAGGATAGGAAATTGTGGAGAGCCATGATCTCCTAAGTTCTAACGTGATACAACACCTAAAAGAAGAAGAGGAGAAAAAGAAAAACGAAGTAGAGGACGAAGGAATTGGAAGAAGAAAGAAGAAGAAATGAAAAGAAGGAATGAGAAGACGATAAAAGAAGTAGAAGAAGAAGAAGAAGAAATGAGAAGAAGATGAAAGAAAAAAAAGGGGAAGGAATGAGAAGAAGATAAAAAGAAGAAGAAGAAGAAGAAGAAGAAATGAGAAGAAGATGAAAGAAAAAGAAGAGGAAGAAATGAGAAGAAGATAAAAAGAAGAAGAAGAAGAAGAAGAAATGAGAAAAGATGAAAAGAAAAAGAAAAGGAAGGAATGAGAAGAAGATAAAAGAAGAAGAAGAGGAAGAAGAAGAAATGAGAAGAAGGTGAAAGAAAAGAAGAGGAAGGAATGAGAAGAAGATAAAAGAAGAAGAAGAAGAAGAAGAAGAAATGAGAAGAAGATGAAAGAAAAAGAAGAGGAAGGAATGAGAAGAAGATAAAAGAAGAAGAAGAAGAAGAAGAAATGAGAAGAAGATGAAAGAAAAAGAAGAGGAAGGAATGAGAAGAAGATAAAGAAGAAGAAGAAGAAGAAGAAGAAATGAGAAGAAGATGAAAGAAAAAGAAGAGGAAGGAATCAGAAGAAGATAAAAGAAGAAGAAGAAGAAGAAGAAAAAATGAGAAGTAGATGAAAGAAAAAGAAGAGGAAGGAATGAGAAGAAGATAAAAGAAGAAGAAGAAGAAGAAGAAATGAGAAGAAGATGAAAGAAAAAGAAGAGGAAGGAATGAGAAGAAGAAGAAGAAGAAAAAGAAGAAATGAGAAGAAGATGAAAGAAAAAGAAGAGGAAGGAATGAGAAGAAGATAAAAGAAGAAGAAGAAGAAGAAGAAGAAGAAGAAGAAATGAGAAGATTATGAAAGAAAAAGAAGAGGAAGGAATGAGAAGAAGATAAAAGAAGAAGAAGAAGAAAGAAGAAGAAATGAGAAGAAGATGAAAGAAAAGAGGAAGGAATGAGAAGAAGATAAAAAGAAGAAGAAGAAGAAGAAGAAGAAGAAGAAAAGAAGAAGAGAAAGAAAAGAAGAGGAAGGAATGAGAAGAAGAAAAAAGAAGAAGAAGAAGAAGAAGAAGAAGAAAGAAGAAGATGAAAGAAAAAAAGGGAAGAAGAAGATAAAAGAAGAAGAAGAAGAAGAAATGAGAAGAAATGAAAGAAAAGAAGAAAAAAAAGAAGAAGAAGAAGAAATGAAAGAAAAGAAGAAAAGAAGAGGAAGAAATGAGAAGAAGATAAAAAGAAAAAAGAAGAAGAAGAAATGAGAAGAAGATGAAAGAAAAAGAAGAGGAAAGAATGAAGATAAAAGAAGAAGAAGAAGAAGAAGAAGAAGAAAAGAAGAAGATGAAAAAAAGAGGAAATAAAAGAAGAAGAAAAAAAGAAGAAGAAGAAATGAGAAAAATGAAAAAAAAAGAAGAGGAAGGAATGAGAAGAAGATAAAAAGAAGAAGAAGAAGAAGAAGAAATGAGAAGAAAAAGAAAAAGAAGAGGAAGGAATGAGAAGATAAAAAAGAAGAAGAAGAAGAAGAAGAAGAAATGAGAAGAAGATGAAAGAAAAAGAAGAGGAAGGAATGAGAAGAAGATAAAAGAAGAAGAAGAAGAAGAAGAAGAAATGAGAAGAAGATGAAAGAAAAAGAAGAGGAAGGAATGAGAAGAAGATAAAAGAAGAAGAAGAAGAAGAAGAATAATAAGAAGAAATGAGAAGAAGATGAAAGAAAAAGAAGAGGAAGGAATGAGAAGATAAAAGAAGAAGAAGAAGAAGAAATGAGAAGAAGAAGAAGAAGAAAGAAGAAATGAGAAAAATATAAAAGAAGAAAAATAATAATAAGAAAGATGAAGAAGATAAAAGAAGAAAAAGAAGAAGAAAGATGAAGAGAATTAGAAGAAGAAAAAATGAGAAGAATATGAAAGAAGAAGAAGAAATGAGAAAAAGATGAAAGAAGAAGTAGAATTAGAAGAAGAAGAAGAAGAAATGATAAGATGATGAAAGAAAAAGAAGAAGGAATGAGAAGATAAAAGAAGAAGAAGAAGAAGAAGAAGAAATGAGAAGAAGATGAAAGAAAAAGAAAAGGAAGGAATGAGAAGATAAAAGAAGAAGAAGAAGAAGAAGAAGAGAAATGAGAAGAAGATAAGAGTAGAAAAAGAAAAAATCCCGCAGACTAATGCTTGTTTACTGAGTTAGATTCTCACTAGGTGACTCCCTCCCCTTACATACACGATAGCGTTTTTTTTTTTCGACAGCGTCACGTAACTATTTCCAAGACTTCTTGGATTCACAGAATTCCTACCAATTAACGCTGATCGCAAATCAACATCGATATTCACCCTACACTACCCGTGATATTTTTTTTCCTTTGGCTTGCTGGTTGCCAATGAGCGTGTATCTGCATTTCATCTAGAAAATGCGTTTTATGCGTGCACACGTTCGCGTCTGTAAATGTTGTCCGCCTTTAGACGAGGGTGTGGCTCTGCTCCCTTCCCCGATCGACAGATTTAGCTGGACATGTTTGACAAAGAATGACTTTCAAGTTGACCATCATTTATTGCGAAAGCCACAAATTACGAAAGGATCAACATGCCTCTCTTCGTTTTTTCCCTTTCTCCAATTCAGCACCGAATAAAAAAATCAAAAAAAGAATCTGTTTTCAAAACAAAAGCAGCTCGAATCTAAAAAATGAAGGACAACGTGAAAAAAGGCGGGAAATTGTGATAAAAACAAAAAAAAGATGGCGAAAGGAATAAATCCAAAAAGACGCGAAAACATGAAATATGGTTCTTCCAGTTAGATCGATAAGAAAAGGAGAAAAATATTTTTATAAAGAAACGTCAATTATTTCATAAAATTATAAATTTTCCTTGATATTAGATGAAAGTAATAATAATAATAATAATGACACGTTAAATTTCTGCGAGTGTTGAGAAAATATCATTACACAAATATATATATATATATATATATATATATATATGAAAGAAAAAATATATACGGAAAAAACAAACAAAATCTTATATACAATTATGCTGTTTTAATGTTAACATTAAAACGGCATAATTGTATAAAAGGATTTTTGTTTGTTTTTCCGTATATATTTTTCATCATACTGTCGGATTTATATCCATATATTTGCTTACATATATATATATATATATATATATATATATATATATATATATATATATATATATATATATATGAAGAAATATAGTCTTAAGATGTGCTATATTTATGGGATAAAGTGCTCAATACCAGAGATAGAGCGTGTGTAAATAAACGAAATATAAATTAAGTATAATTGTATTTTCAACAAGAATTTTCCAGAATTGTATATGTGGCCAGGCATGTTGCTTTAAATGCCTAGAAATGATAGAATTGTCATTCAAATGGAGAGTTAAGCGTCGTGAAAGCGAGTTTCGCTTAACTCTTAGGAATTTACTTAAAATAAATAGACAAAACTTGTCTATATTATTTAATAAAACATGCATTAATGAAACAATGCTGCCTAAATACACACATATATATATATATATATATATATATATATATATATATGTGTGTGTGTGTGTGTGTGTGTGTGTGGAGAAATATACTCTTAAGGTGTGGTATATTTATGGCATAAAGTGCTCAATATCAGAGATAGAGCGTGTGTAAATATAAAAGTGAACATAGAAGTCAACACTTAGAGGCGACAGGCTGTTTCATGCTCGATGCAATCGTCAGGCCACGAGTGCTGTTATTTTTCTCGGCTATTTATATATATACGGGTCCGTGGTGCATTGTGGGTAGTCTATTTTGGAGGTTATTTTACCGGATGTCGTTTATTTGTTTATTTATTTATTTGGGTTAAATTATTTTGCTTGTTTTTATTCATTTCTTTATTTTTATTTCTTATCTTATTTATTTATTTATTCATTTATTTATTTATTAATTTATTTATTTTTTATTTTTATTTTAATCGGTGATTTTATTAACGTAGTAAAAATTTGTTTATATCGCTTATTTAATAGTTTTGTTTTGGTTTGGGAAGATAATTAAAGCTATTTATTCAATTTTGGGGTTGATTGTTGTAGTTTATTCTAACTATTATTTTGGCGGTAAAAGTTTTTAATTTGTTTATTACTTCATGTATTTATTTGGATTGATTATCTTTATTTGTTTCTTCTAACGGTTAGTTTATCGGGATTATATATATATATATATATATATATATATATATATATATATATATATATATATATATATATATATATATATATATTAAAGAAAAAACAGGCTACTTTAAGGTTCCATTATATTTATTTATTTCACCAGAGCCCTTTTCAGGGACGCTGGATCATCAGATAACACTTCCAAAAAATTAAACGAAAGATGAAATGAAAATTCACACTTTTGACGGGTAGTATTAAGTTTATGTAATTTAACAGAGAGGGTATCGAGGAGTGGTGTGAGAAACATGGTCGAGTTTAGAGAGGATTTATTTTAATATTTCTTTCACACATACTTAGTATTGGGGGAGGAGGGACCAGACCATGACCTATTTAAAAGTTTAACTTAACGGAAGGGATATATTGAAATGGGGGGGGGGAGAAGAGAGAAAAAAAAGAAAGAAGAAAGAAGGGGGAAGTAAAGAGAAAGAAGCTGTAATTAGGTTTTACGTAGGAAAAAGAGGGGTGGTATATTTTTTAGCAATTAATGTAAAAAAAAAATAGATTTTAATGTTTGATAGTAATTTAAATGTTTAAAAAAAATCCACGAAGAAATTAATTTCATGCTTGCTAGCAATTTAAATATTTAACTCTTTTACAAATCAATTAGGAATTTAATATAACTTAAATACTGTATTTATTAACACATTCATAGAGAACACATTAAAAGAATTTTTAAAAATATAACAGTTTACTGATAGTAATCTTTTAATATTGTAAATGACAGTCAAGGTAACATCTTTATCAGTTTAAATCTAATTCATGAATGTAATTTGTAACTATTTTTAGATGGGTAATTAAGGTTTAATTTAGGTTTCAAATTAAGATGGAGTAATATTTGAAGGTAATATTAAAGATTTTGTTTTTTTTCCTTATATATATCCCACGTATACACTTATGTAATTTTTACACATACATACATTCATTTACATGTGCAATTACACACAGAGGCACATACACATGTATCGAAATACACAGGTACCTCTACATATTCATATGTAAATACTTACACATACATTTACAAATAATTACAGATATTTATATTTATATCTATTTAAATTTTTCTTTAATTTCACAGTTAATGTTTAACGTTAGGTGATGACTTAAGTGTTTAAATATTAAAACAAATATTTCTAATTTTAATATTTTACTATCAATATTTATAGTTAAAGAGTGATATATTTAAATTTAAATTAAATTATCAATTTAAAATGAAATTACCTCCAGATGATAAAAAATTTCAATCTCACAATTCTAATTAGAGAATATTAAAAGGGAAAGTAAGATTAAAGATTAATAAAAGAACTTTATGGAATATTATATATATATATATATATATATATATATATACTGATCTATACCCATAAACACCTATACATGCATATGTATTTATATTACTATATTTTACATATATTCGCACATATTACAAATACGAATGTGTGTGTGTGTAGGCAGCAAATTCTATTTTAGGCATGTCTGATTAAGTAATTAAATAATTTTGTCTGCTTATTTTTAGTATAATCATATTCATGTTCACGTATATTTTTTCCTGTATTACAATTAAATGATGCAACAATGCTCTGTAGCAGTAACAATCACTTTTATTTCCTCTAATGATTATTGTTACTGTGAATTTCTTGCATCATATAATTGTAATGAACAGATTTAAAATATATATATATATATATATATATATATATATATATATGTGTGTGTGTGTGTGTGTGTGTGTGTGTGTGTGTGTGTGTGTGTGTGTGTACAGTCATCCATATAAGGGCATGTTTCGCTGTATCACAACTCATCAATGTGTCTAGACATCCGATTGCTTCAGGCCGGGATCGAAAGCCAACCGACCGATTTGGAGTCAGTCGGAGATCCTACCCCTAAGCTCTCGGCGCACGCTAGGAAAGGAAGATTTTAACTTATTATATACGAATATATATATATATATATATATATATATATATATATATATATATATATATATATATATGAACTGATTTAAAAAATATGGTTCCATCGTTTCATAGGAATTACCATGTTTCAAAAACAGAAACTAAAAACTTCAAATTTAATTACAGAATTAAATTAAAGTCCCTACTCCTGCTTCATTTTCAAGCGAATTTTGGAATAACTTTTTTTGAAATTTACTGATTTCTATAAGCACATACATTCATAATATTAGTTTCTAAGGATACAGGGAAATTCAATCATTTTGACAATAAACAGAATAATCAAAGGTAATCGCCCAGACCTCGTGATCAAAGACCACAAAAACAGAATCTGCCTTCTTAATGACATGTCAATCCCTGCAGATTGTAATATATCTTTGAAGATCTTAAAAAAAACCTCTCAGAATACAAGGATCTTGAAGTGGAAATCGGTTTCGATAGACTCAATGAATGGATTCCTGGTAACCCATGTCTTAAGGAAATATAAAGAATTGTACTCGAAAGTACAGCTCACATTACGAAGAGCTTTAGCTATGTAAAATGTTTATGATCTTAGTTTTTTTTTTTATTTTACAAAAATGATCAGTAGAAAATGTCTTGAAGCCATTTCTGGCCATAGGTCTCTGGTTGGTCCCGGGAAGAAAATATATACACAGAGGAAATAATAATAATAATCAGTCAGTTATGTACCATGCGTGATACATGCGTAAGCGATCATGTATCTTTGGATACAAGACTGACGAGGCAGATTTTTCCCGCAGTAGGTTGCCATTTCTTTCTTCTGTAGACCAGTTGCCATCCAAGGCTATAGAATCCGATCTGTCCTGTTATTTACCCATAGCTAGGGGTGGGGGATAAAGAAGAGGATTATTACCTTTCCCAAGGGTATTAGTACGTAAGTGAATGTAATGGATTCGACTGGAAATTTATAAATCAATGTCTTCTTTTCAAACAAGGTTCAATAAAGAATTACATCACATTAAACGCTCATCAATAATTGGTTATCCAACGGAAAACTTCAACGAATAAAATAAATGGAATAAATAAACATTTATTTAAAAAGGTTATTAGAAGAGGAGGCACGTGGAGTAATGGATAGTGGCTTGGATTGAGGAATCGGAGAGCCGAGTTCGAATTCCAGTCGAATCCATTACATTCAATTACGTGCTAATACCCTTGGGAAAGGTGTGAATCCTCTTCTTCTTCTCCCTCCAGGTATGGGTAAATAGCAGGACAGACTGGGTTCTATAGCCTTGGATGGCAACTGGTCTAGGAGAAGGAAAACTCTGAATTCAAAACCTGCGGAGTGAATTGAGTCTCTCTGAGCCTTGGTTCGCAATCCATTTAGTGTTGGTGTCACGATAAAAAACACCCTTGATAGCCCTAGCGAAGCATCAAGAATTCAGCTACTTGACAAGATTATGAGCTACACAAATCAAAGTATTAGAATACTGGAAAGGTGTAGTGAGTTCAATCTCGGCTGAGGCCGCAAGATTGAACTCACTACACCTTTCCAGTATTCCAGAAAGATTATGCTGACAATAGGGCTGAATGTCCTCTGAATATCACCATTCATATATTTCATTATAATTAACTGATTTCAAACTGGAATTCGATTCTCTGATTACTCAATCCGAGCCGCTATCCATTTTCCATCGTAGTAGTAGTAGTAATAATAATAATAATAATAATAATAATGAATATAATTAGCGAATATTGGTTATTTTACAAATTACATTCGAACAATTATTGACTCACAAAACATCCTGTCGTTAAGCCTGCGTTCGTCACCTCAGATTTTCGTAAATGGAGAGTTCTCTGTTTTGATTACTCACCCGAATACAAAAATACATTTAGTGTTACAATTATGTAACATATTGTCGTACTGCTGAAAAAATAACATAACAGGTAATCACTGTTTACAATAGACATTAAATCGAAGTTTGAACTGTTGATATAAATATTCATTGAAATGAAAATAATAATAAATTTATTGCAGATACATATCTTGCAGATTATATGATAAACACAGCAATGAAATTTTAGAGAAAAGTTTTATTCATCAAAAATAACCACAATATAGAAAGATATTACATCAGTAAAAATAGTCGAAATTTTTATGAAGTAAACGTTTCGATTGACATTTGTCATCATCAGGGATATGACAAAGAAAAGAGAAGGAAAGAAAAATAAACCCCTGCCTTAGTTACCCTCAATAGCCGCAATATATTTCTATCGATAGAAAGATTTTACATGAGCTAAACTTATAATTATATGTATTTATATAATACACCCCCCACAGATACATCTTGACTGCTCCATCTTCACAGATAATTGCCGTCCAGAGCATCAAAATCTCATCTCCCGCTCCTCGCCGCTACGTTTCTGAATGGCTACTAAAGTGACTTCTCAAACCAGCAGTCGATTTGCATGGCTTGAAACATTGTACTGTCTTCATAGGATTGATCCGGTCTTGCTGTGATTTCTGTTTCTTTTTTACTACTATGTGTCTCTTCAATTCAGCCATAGACTTGCATACCTTGCCCCAAATCACTGAAAAAGTATTACGTGGTTGCGAAGGGGACACTGAATGAGAAGGCTGTCTCTCATGTGATTCCAGATGGTGAAAGTATCCAGCTTTAGACAGTAGAATACGATCACATCTCTTACACTTCCAGCCCTCCATGTTAACATCCAAGCCCTTCACAACGCCTTACCGCAGAACCCGTTTAAGTTCTGCATGCATCAAGTTCTTTATTTCAGATGTCCCATAATCCTCTGCAACAGCCCTCTGACACTCAGTGCGATTCTCCACCATTTCCTCCCACTTCTCAACATTCAAACTGATCTCCTTTAGAATGTTTTTCATACAAACCTTAAACCTCTCCCACTAGCAGTGAGCTCACCTTAAACACACACGCATATATATATATATATATATATATATATATATATATATATTATCATTTTAAACCTTAATATTTTAAAGATCTGATAAATTAATAACAATCCATTATATTCCTTATACAACGCGTTCGGCGAAGAGCGAGGGGCGTATTCAATAATACTTATGTAAAACGGCCATTTTTGACGGGTACTTTGCTAGTTCACATGACATATGACACGCTCGGCGGAGCAGTATAAGATTCAACAATACTTATGCAAAACTCATTTTTGACGGGTACTATGCTAGTTCACATGACATATGACACGCTCGGCGGAGCAGCATAAGATTCAACAATACTTATGCAAAACTCATTTTTGACGGGTACTATGCTAGTTTACATGACATATGACACGTTCGCAGAAGGTGGAGGGGCGTATTTAATAATGTAAAACGGTCATTTTTGACGGGTTCTATGCTAGTTCACCAGACGTATGACGCGTTCGGCGGAGGAGGGGCGTATTCAAATTATTCATTACATCATATCCAAGTATTTTACAAAAATTAGAGCTGATTAATCAATATTTCAAGCTCAATTTAGGTTTATAGTTCATAGCCATGCAATGAGATGAGGTAACATAAAACGTAGATTTGTTTGCGGAATATCATTACATTATTGTTACAAAATGATAGTAAGGTATTTTTATCAAAAGAATTTTATTTTTGGTTGTATATTAATTTAAAATATTACTTTTTTTTTTTTAAATGGAATAAGATCATTCTAAATTTCAGAATTTCGCTATTGTCCATCAAAATGACTGGAAGAAAGCGATCTAAAAACAACAATGGAAAAGAGGGGTAACAATGCGGAAACGAAATAGCTCCAGTTTGTTGAACTTAGGAAACTTACCATTCCAAACAAAGTATTTTAAAATGCTGCCAGTAAAAAGGGAAAAAATGAAAAATACCTAACAACAAATTGAATATAACATCAAAATTTATATTGTTTATTTATTTATGTAACTAAATACATAATTATCAACAATGTTCCCGTAAAACTTGATATTTCCTGTAATAAAATCTTACTAAATATTATTATTGTTATAATTTTACTTAGGTAGTCCTACATTTAAAATGCCTTACGGCTAACCACCATAAGAAATGTTGATAAAAACTGCCTAAAACCTTTAAGTGCGTATTGCCGTAAAAATTATAAAATG